TGTGTGTGTGTGTGTGTGTGTGTGTGTGTGTGTGTGTGTGTGTGTGTAATTCCATTTGTATCCTGCTTTTTTCTATGTAATAATATACTGAAGAATATTCTGTATCAGTTAAGGTGATTCTTCACTCATTTGTGTGACTGCAAAGTGTTCAACTGTATGCATGCGCCATAACCAATTTTAACCAGTCTCCTGTTGAAACTATAGACGTTGTTTACATTCTATTCGCAATTACAAGTCACGCGGATACAAATAATCTTGTACATAGGTCTTTTCAGATATGTGTGAATATTTCTGCCCAAAAAAAAAATTCTTAAGAGGCAGAAGTTCTGGATCAAAACACATTTGAAATTTTGGTGGATATTGCAAACACCGTTCTCCATAGAAGGCAATTTACACCCAGCAGCAGCAATGGATGAGACTGTCTATCGCCCAACACTGTCTTAGGCTTACTTACATCTGCCAGGGATAGGTAAGAAATGGTATCTTGAAGACTTTTTTATTTTGCTTTTCTCTGATTATGAGTGAGGCTAAGCATTCTTTCCTTCATTTAAAAATCATCCATATTCCCATTTCTGTGAAGTCTATTCACATCTTTTGTTCATTTGTCTACTTGGTTGTTGAGTCTGTTGTTATTGGGTTATGGAATCTCTTTATTATTGGGAAATTAGTCCTTTGTCTGGAACTTGGATGGAAAAGATTTTTCCTACTTTTCAAGTTGTCTTTTTACCTTGCTGACTGTATTTCTGCCAAATTTTTATTCTGTTCTGTTTGTTTTTTACCATTTCAAATTTAACACTTAGTTTATGGTTTCTAGGTTTTAAGTAAATTTTTAAAAGACTTCCTTTCTGCAAATTTCTGAAAGAAAAAATTAACCCACAGTTTCTTGTAGCCATTTTATTGGCTATTGAAAGTAGTCACTTTCAATATTAAAATATTTGTTCCATTTGCCATTTATCCTGGTACAAAAGCTGAGTTCTGATGCCAATTTACTTTTTTTTCCTCCCAGACAGCTTAACAACCAACATTTGTCCAATGTTTGAACATCAGATTTATTAGACACTAAATCCCCATAAGTATCTACATCATATTCTGGATGTTTTCCTCTGTCTGATTATTCTGCCTCCTCATAAGCCAGCTTTATAATATGTTTTAACATCTGATAAGACAATTAAAGGGAAGCATGAAGGCACAGTTAGCCTAAAAGCTATTAACAATAATAGCTATTCTACGCTCCACAAAACAAATACATAGTTATACACCTTACTTTGGGCATAAAAGGCAAAATTTTCATTGGAAATTTAATAAAATGCAGATGGGGCCTGTTAATACACCTGATGTCACCAGGTGAAAAAGACAACCAAAACAGGAACACCTTTAAGCCCATGACCAGTTCTCAGCCTTGCCTCCAACGAGACGCAAATGCAGGACAACAGCCACAGGAAAGCACATGTCTGTGATTCCTACAGGCCAGCCACAACTCAACGCCTATGCCAGGAAGTTGAGAGGAGCCAGCCTACTCATAAATAATTAGCAGGGGCCAGCCACCATTACTTGTGACGTTCCTCACAAGTGTCTGTGACGCAGCTAGTGTGTCACAATTCAAATGCCAAGGACCGCAGCACAGGAAACTCTGTCAACGCTCTTCTCTCAAGGTGAGGGGTCTTATAATCTCCATACAGTCATAAGCCACCATTAAGGTCAGTAAAAATATACCGCTAAGACACAATGCCACTTAAAGAGGCAGCCTACAGGGTTGGTTATCTTGCCTGAGAACAGAAAAACAAGTTTCCAGAGAGTTCTTATTCTGGAAGCCAGAGGAAATCTATTGGCAAGCCCACAAAATCAGTGAATGCTCAATGAAGTATAAATTCTTACTAGTGATAGCTGTAGTGACGACACATGTCATCTTTGCTATAATAAAATGCCAAAGATAAATCTTTTGCATATCGCCATTATCTCACATTTCCCCCTGAAACTACTGTTGTTACGGAAATTCCCAAGAACAGAGCTGTGAGATACTTGCTCTTACCCTCCACATAAGGTCCTTCTTTGGGATGCTCTCGGACTCTTAAATTGAAGGTTTTGGATGACTTCCGCCTAAGTAGATCTCGCACACGTTCATTATAAATTTCTAAGTAGCTAAAAATTTTAAACAGGATTGAATTCAGTGAAATAATTTCAGACAGTAATAACAACAAAACGACAACAATAACAACCGCAACATACCTTTATAGACAGTAACCATATATCTATCAGGTACCATGCTTAGCACTTTAAGTGGATTACTCCATTTAATCCCTACAACAGTCCACAAGTAGGTACTGCTATTATCCCCATTTTACAGGCTACATAGTGGAGGTGTAGAGTGTTTTAAACAACTGTTCAAGGCTACACAGCCACTGAGAGGTTGGGCCAGCCATAAACACCTCTGATCGCCGTGTCTGTCCTCAAACCCAATGATGAGACTGGTTCCCCACAAAGGTTTTATTTCAAGGAGGAAAAACACTCCTCATCCATCCAGATTTATTTTAAGATTAGGTGTACAGTGATCCTACCAACACAAAGAATTACACAAACCTTATTTAGCTAAAAGAATAAGGCAAGTGAATGGGATACACACTTCTAAGTCGAAAGCTCGCTCTCTTTCAGATAAACATCCTAGGTTAGAGTTTCTGACTTAGAGGGATTTTTTTTTTTTTTTTTTTTTTTTTTTTTTTGCCAGCCTCCCAAATCCTAATCCAAATTGCACCCAAGAAAGTCACTGAAAACAGACGTGTTTTAAGCTTTACTTCCAGCTCCGATAGTACAGGAGGGGAAAAGGCAGCCTCTCCCTTCAGGAATCCGCAGGCCTTATCTTTTATCTACTGCTCAAGCCTAGAGAGAAGCTACAACCAAGCTCACACATTCAGTTACTCAGGCCATGGGCCCTACCTGACTTCAGTTCGAAAAGATGCTTCATCCCATCTGGTGGTTTCATTTATTTGACTGAAGAGCCCTTCACAAATCCGAGGTATTAAGCCAGAATCGCCCTGCAGTAGAAGAGGAATGTCACAGCTGTCACTTGAAATAAAAGCAACTGATGGCTGAATCTGCAATTTGCCAGAGTGGATTCAGACTCAAGGGGCCTGCATGTCAACCCCAGGCCTACCACTGCAGGCCCCTGACACACCATCTACCCCCTCGGGACTGCTTCCCATCCTCTGAAATGAACGGATGAAGCTTTCTAGCTTCTACATGCTGGGTCTAGGGTAATGTACAGCTATCAGCTGTTAATCAGTTGAATCCTGGCTTGAAAACAGACCTATTCCTTAACTTTTAAACAAGATGGTCTCCAGCTGCAGAATAAATATGGAAAAGCTCATAAGGCCAAATGGCCAAAGAAGGTGAAATATATGCTGGGCAGAAAAGAAAAATACCAATGAAATCTTCGTAAGCACTCAAAGTAGCTGATAAGTCTTAAAATGTAGGTGACAGGACCACATTAAAACATGTAGTGTGTCCCTCCTTTGATGCACTAATCCCTACACTGGCCTTCCTAGACAGATTTTAATAACATCATATTACTTATACAATGTGGGCATCTTCAGGAATATTCATGTTTCAGCCAGCATTAACAAGCGACAAACCTCAGAACGATGCTAAAGATGAAGCCAAGTATTCTTGCCAGGAAACCAAAACTTCAGAACTTCAGTGTTTCCCTCCAAAGACCCTCTCTACCTTCACCCAACATTCCCCCAACCCCAGCAAAAAAATAAAAGAATTAGTGGGGTGCCTGGATGGCTCAGTCAGTTGATCATCCGACTTCAGCTCAGGTCATGATCTCACGGTTTGTGGGTTCGTGAGTTCGAGCCCCACATCAGGCTCTGTGCTGACTGCTCAGAGCCTGGAGCCTGCTTTGGATTCTGTATCTCCCTCTCTCTCTGCCCCTCCCCTGCCCATGCTCTGTCTCTCTCTCTCTCAAAAATAAATAAACATTAAAAAAATTTTTTTTAAAAAAAGAATTATCTTTACAGCTTTAAGAGATTTTTTTCCCTTATACCATTAAGTTGGTACCAATTCTTATCAAGGAAAACTGGGCTTTTCACCATATTTTTTGTTCTTCCTTTAAAAAACAAAATAAAAAGGAAGACCCAAACACTACTCAACCGAAAGATCAGAGAAAAACAGGTGTAATTCAGGAGTACTTTATGAATGTTTAACTTAAGTAAAATAGCTACTAACAAATCAACATGTAAATTTCATTTTTTTAGAGAAGGTTTTTTCTTTTCTTTTCTTTTTTTTTTTTTTTTTTTTTTTTTTTTTTTTGTAAAGGCACAGTGGGAAACTCGGAAGGGAAGGGAGAAGTAATGATAAAAGGAAATGTGAAACTCCTGACCCTAACTGTTCACTCTCCTATTTATTCTTCCGTTCTGTTCAGCACTGAGGATTCACAAGACAGCATCCATCTACTTCCGTAAAGGAAAAGGCTGAATTTAAGAAGCCAGGTCACAGGCACTCAAATACTTTCATCTGGAAAGACCCACCCTCCTTCAGGAACGCACTACCACTACCTTCCATGAGCCACCAAACTTGCAGCACTAAAGACACCATGTGCCTGCCAGCAGGAAGCCCTGTGACCCTCTGCTCGTACCTCCACATCTAGAACTGGCCACAGGTCGGACAGGCAGTGAAGAGAGTTTTTACTGGGACATAAATAGAACACACAAACACTACCTAGATCTGGAGAAAACACAGAACGAGATAAAGTTCCTGCAATAATGTATAGCTTTTACTTTTCCATATTTTGGGGTAAGTATAACTTTAATGTCTGTTAGTTTATACAGCATAACTACTAAACTCTACATACTCCGTAATTACATAGACTCCATACAAACTACATAATTCTCTTTTGATGTATATGCTGGAGTTATGTAGTACCTTCCCACCAGAGAGTTAGATTTTCTTTTTTTTTTTTTTTTTTACATTTTTCTTGGGGAAAATATGTTTTGAATAATTTTAAAAAGAACAGAGTTCAGTAATTTTATTCAAACTGTTGTGTTGGCAGAAAAGAAGAATAAATTACTTGTGGGCCCAGCATACTTTTTTGATAAGATTATAAAGCCTTTAAAAACGGAAAATGAACTGAGACTTGCATCCATTATTCATGCTTATAAACTTAAAACTATTTCTAATTTAAAATCTCTCAAAGGAAATTTAGTCCAGCTTATTACTGAGTTTTATCTTATTGCTAAAGAATGATCAGAACATGAAAAGCAAGTTAGTACAGACCAAGTAGATAAAAGAGATAATTCTATCAGTCCAAAGAGAGATAATAAGAAATTTTCTTCCCACAGTGTAAAACAACGTACAGAATTTCCCATCATAGTGTATGACTTTCCCGATCCAGTTTGCCCATATGCAAAGACACAAGCATTATAACCTTCAAATGCAGACTTCACGACATCTGTGCCGAGGGTGTTGAAAACCTGAAAGCAGGAAAAACAAACACAAAAGACACAATTACCATAGATTTTAATAAGAACCCCTTTAATGTCGACAAATATTCTTGAATGCTACTTTCGTCTTGCAAGTATTACACCACATAAATAAAATCTTCGCACAACTATTAACAACAGAGTATGTGTGTACCTCAGTTTTTAATCAAAAGGAAACTTTTTAAGGAAGAAAAGAGCAACCCCATCCTTTTTCCTACTTAACAAAAAATTCCTGAATGTAAACAAGGCAAAATGACAGTCATGTCTAAGAAGCAAAGATGCTTTTAAAGCATGATGATTTACCATTTCAGAATTAAATAAACTTACAAAGTTGTGCATTCTATCAGAGCTTCCAGAAGCTAAATATTCAAAACCTAAAAATCACTGCAGCCAGAAGTTATTGCCCAAAGCATGCCAAATCAATACTGTCATTTGAAGAGTCCGGCTATTCATCAAAATAAGTCTCAGAAGGTTGAGTGATGGGTGGGTGTGAATGAGGCTGGGAAGGCCGGGCTCCCCTGAGTTAGAGTCCAGATGCTTTCTCCTATTTGAATATTGGCCTCGGATGGAGAAGGCAGGGACAGGAGCTGTGTGGGGTCTGGGGTTGTGCCTACACTGGCCTGAGACTGTGTCTGATGTACCACTCAGCTGCAGTGGGACACTCTGGGAAATGAAACAGGATGAAGGACAAATACTTCGCCCAGACAACTGATGTCAGTGAGGCCAATCGACATGTGTGGCCATCCTGAGTACACCCAGTTGGGAAGGGGACCAACCAAAGCTGCCCAAACCCCACAAGCCTTCACGTTGCCCCTTTCCCCTGTCAGAGAGGAAGCATGATCGGGTTCTTAGAGCCAGGAAAAGTGAGGCACTGTTTTGTGGCGTCACCACAGTCCAAGGTGGGAGCCTCATTAACCCCTCAGGAATGTTTAGTCTGTGTGAGTGATGCTGAATCAGCTGAACTTGAGACCCATCATCTCCCCTTCAGGGTTCTAAGCCCTGCAGCCAGAACACCCATCCTTAGACAAGGCTGATAAACACTAGGCCCCTCAACCTCAGCTCCACATAAACTATCCCTGCTACTAACACAGCTTATCATCCAAGGACAAAATATAAACACAGTCAACCGGACTTCAGCTTTCTTCAGGTACCATCCTGCCGCCATCTTGCTTTTTTTCCTCAGTTTCTCGGTCAAAGATTTCCAAACTATCATTTCAATTGAGTCACTTCCAAAATGACCAGTCTCATTCATACTGTTAATTTGTATCCATTTCAGCTCTAAGAGTGGATATTTTCTAGTCCTTTTCTCAAATTCTGATGACTTATTCAACTCTCAATGGTAATAGCAGGTCACAAGGAGTTCGCATATTGGTCCTCATAAAATTCTACAGGGTGAGTAAGCATCACTTAGATCTATTTCTCAGGGGGAGAAGTGAGATGAGTGAACATACACAGTGAGTGGCAGAGATGGGATTTGCACCTGGGTATTTCTGACCCCAAAGCCTGTGCTAAACCCTTCAGTGTCCTCTTCCCACACCCTCAACATCAAGCATGAGGCCCCAGTCCTCCCTGAAAGGACCTCCTCCCACAAACCATGAAAAGGCAGAAGCCAGGAATCCCAGGGAGGCTCAGGGCTCCAGACAACCTATCTAAAATCAGTTTTCACCATGGTATATGGAACATGAGGAAAAACTCTAAATATTTCTTCAATTCTCTTTGATTAAGCAAAAAATAAAAATCATACATCATTTTCACCCTATCATGGGGTGCCACTGGATAGGAAGTACAGCCTTCCATAAAGTTCTCAAAGAATAAAAAAAGGATCTTCTGTAATACCTTTGTCTGAGGCTAAAACAAACTCATTGAAAATATATTTAAACCAAACCCAACGTTTTCAAAATAAAATTCTTTCCCAGGATTAAAAATCCCACCCACCAGGCTGCCTATGTGGTTCAGTCGGTTAAGTGTCAGATTTTGGCTACGTCCTGATCTCACGTTTGGTGAGTTCAAACCTCACATAGGGCTCTCTGAGGTCAGCGTGGAGCCTGCTTTGGATCTTCTGTCTCCCTCCCTCTCTGCCCCTCCCCTGCTCACACTCTCCTGCACTCTCTCTGTCTCAGAAATAAACATTTAAAAAAAAAATTTTTATAAAAAAATCCCACACACCATTTTACTATTACCTATTTCTCCAGAAAGCCAACTCAGCTGGATTTCTCTAACAGATCTGGGGGCCTGGAACAGGAGGAGGAGGGTCCTGGTGCTGGTGAACATGACTGCAAAACAGGCCTAGAATACGCAGGTCTGGATGCACCGAGACCCAGGCCGGGCTCAGTCTCAGCTTCAAGTAACCTACCCAAAGTTGTCCCAGGACCCAGAGAAGCAGCGGGACACTGTCCACATCTTTGGGGTTCTTGGCAAGGAAAAGAGGCTACCCCAGTGCAGCTCCCAGGAAGGACCTGTTTAGCATCAATATCAAACCAAAGTGGAGAGGGAGTGGCTGCATTGTGAGACCGAGCTCTCCCCTCCTCGACTGGCACTGGCGACTGGCATCAAAATCCAGCTGAGATCCTCACCTGGCCAGGTGACCCAAATAGCTGTACATCTGAGCACAGATTTTCAAGTGGATTTCCAGAGCGATCCAAGGCATCCCAGGGCCTCAACTGAGGGGAACTGCCCACAAGAGGGCACTGTTAAAACAAAAGACTCATCCATTCAGCTTGTCAACTGGGAGATTTTAGGTTTCAAGTTTCTCCAGGGTTGAATCAAGGAGATCAAAGCCTCCCTTTGGAGTTTTGAAGAACCATTAAGAAAATCAGACCTTATTTAATGGTCTTTAATTTATGTGAATACAGACTTAAATTGTCCAATGATTTTTTTTTTCCAAATCTAAAATTAATTTGTAAGGAAGAAATATTACTGGTCATCTTACTTGCTATTTAACAGTAAGGGAAACTTAGGTTGAACTCTAGTAATAGGCATGATATATTTCCTCAAGATGCCCCTCTATCCAGATGAGAAGGATAAAAAGGAGGAGGAAGAGAAGACCAACATCATGCTAAGCTTGCATCTTCCCGTTTATGCAGGGGTACAACTTGACGGCTCAAATCCTGGGCCAGAGATGACAGCATGAAAACTTTATTTTTTTTTTTTTAATTTTTTTTTCAACGTTTATTTATTTTTGGGACAGAGAGAGACAGAGCATGAACGGGCGAGGGGCAGAGAGAGAGGGAGACACAGAATCGGAAACAGGCTCCAGGCTCCGAGCCATCAGCCCAGAGCCCGACGCGGGGCTCGAACCCACGGACCGCGAGATCGTGACCTGGCTGAAGTCGGTTGCTTAACCGACTGCGCCACCCAGGTGCCCCAACAGCATGAAAACTTTAATCAGTAATCAAAATTGAAGCTATTTTTAACATTAGGGGTGAGGGAAGATTACCCTTCTCTTTAGTAGAGTTTCAAAAAAAATAGGTATTTTCCTGTATCTATGCTGATTTTATTAACATGTGCTTCTGCTAGAAAGTAGTACTGTATTTACTAATACATCACCACGCTTTTTTAGTTTTGTAATTTAGTAGAACAATCTCAGGTTACTTATATAGTCGAAAAACACAAAACACCTGAGAAGAGACGCTACCCATCACTCGAAGCATGGAAATTATCCCTATCAGAAGCTTTGCACAAACTAAAACTATTCTTAAACTCTGAGCATTTATTTTTAACTTCCAAAAGAGCTAAACTTGTTACTCTTTCCCTGATCTTGACTCTTGTAGAACCAGGAAATGTCATCTGTTCCCATAAATTAACCACCATCTGTAAACGACTTCTGTCAGTCAGCAAATGTTTACCGAGCATCTCCAGCGTGCCAGGTCCTGCTGTCAACACACTGCTCTGCTCCTCCCCCCATGGACTTTCCCTCACCACAGCCCTCTGTCCCCAAAAGGCCTCAAATTCAGGTTAAATAAGGAGGAAAATCCAACCGTTTGCTGTGTAAGTTAGACATGGAAACCTTCCTGGCTCTTCATCCATCATCTCTTGAGGACATTGTGAAGACTGTGGAATGAATTGGCTTTTCCCTGAACAAATTCCCTCACACCAGCCACTTCATTTTTATTCCTGTATTAAAGCCCAAATCTGGATTCCAATATCTATAACATTCTATTCCTCACCAGCTGCCAATCTATTCCTAGCTGCCAATGTTGACCAATCCAGTTACCTCAACAGCAAAGTTGCTGTGAAACAGAAAACCACAGGCCCAAAATGGAGTCACTTATGCTAGGCCAAGTCACCAAACCGGGGTTCAATACCTAACCTAACTGCAGTTTCAACCTCACCCAGATATGCAGTCTCAACTGGTCGGTCAGGAATTTTCTGATCAGCACCAATGAGGTCATCTCCCACATGGGCCCTCTCCATCCCCCAGAGGAAGATGAGGTGATCCACCTAAACAACACCCTCTACTCTTCTGCCTAAGGGAAGATGACCTTGCCTGAAACAATCTTTTCTTGTGCTACTTCTCCCACCCTGTTTCTGCCTATAAAATCCTTCCATCTTGTACAGCTCTTCAAAGTTCCTTTCTACTTGCTGAATGGGATGCTGCAGGATTCATGAATCGATGATTTTCAAATTTACTTGGTTGAATTTTGTTCTTTAACACTCCTCACTCATTTATTCATCAATAAGGCTGCCCTATTCATCTATCATTTAGAACAAACCAACCTTATGCCCTGAAGACCCTCCAGTGGCATCTCCCCTGCCCTACACATCAGCCCCAGGATCTCATCTCGGCTACTATTAAGTCCATTAGGTGTATGGACTTGAGCACATTATTTAAGCTCAGAGTCTCTTCGACAAAGAAAAACGGAGCTAAAGTGAAACCTGGCCTTCTGAGAATGAAGTGAGACAAGTACATGAGTGCCAAGCAGAGTTTCAGACACCAACACAAACTCAAGCAACATTAGTTCCTGGCCCCTCTTTCATCCCAGGCAGCTAATCGTTCTTTATGGCTCTCAATCTTATTGCTGTCATCCTTTCGATTTTTGCCCTGATGCTGAACCCACACATTCTGGATACAAACACTCCAATCTTCTCCTTTGAATAATTTCTTTAAGTTGTCTATCTTAACTCCAACATTTACATTGCCTCTATAAGCCGACTTCTTCCACAAACCATGTGCTTAACCAATGCTAAGTTCTCCAATGTCGAGGTGTGCAAATCTGCTAAAAAATGCAGTTTGGCTCAGTGGGGTCTGGAATTGGTACAGATTTTGCATTTTTAACATGCTCTAGTCAATGCAGTGGTTCTGGAACATGGACACACGAAGTTGCAAGCAACTAGACAATAATACCACTTTAAGATGCCACCGCATGGATTATAACCCAGGGTAGGCAAGACGGGAATTCTTAGTTGTAACACATGCAGTCCTAAAGCAATATATCTGAAGAAACTGTTAAGAAGCCAGGAAGAAACCCATATTCCTCCCCTTATACCGATGCTTCCCCATAGCTCTACTCTGTTTAAACACCCAACTGGTCCCACCCAGGGAAATCCCCTTAGTCTGCGCACATGCAGCATCAATATGCAATGGTCTCCTGGGAGGATCTCCGAATCTGTTCTTCTATGCCATGTCACATCCACATTTTAGACCATAAAACCCTATAGCACCGGTTTCTTGGACAAATTACAGCTACATTCTAGATTCTAGAAAAATTCTGAACAAAATGCCCATTCCTTCTAGAACCCTTCTTTTGAGAATCCTAAAATGGTCCACAGGAAGTGGGGCTTTGGTCTGAAATCTAACTTCCAGAGCCCTGCATCACAGCAGGACTCAGAGCTGAGCGGCTTATTTGCTGGGCTTAGCAATATACAAACGGTGCTCCCCAAATGATTTGCACAGCTCCTTGAAAACGGTAGTCCTTTCCAAGTTTGGGGGTGGGAGGGTGGGGGGAAGTTATGATCATCATGCTTAGAAGTGAAAAACAAAATCAACTTTTTGGGGACTGAATTCTTCTCAGGCTTAATGGTGCTATGTAACAAAGCTAAATTAGCAGAGGTAGATTTTACATAAATTATATTGAGAAAAAATCAGCAAGATGTTTTATAGAGTTTTAGGATGGGCATTTTTTCCCTCAATATGGAAATAAATCAAAATAAAGATTATGAAAATATCATACCATCTCTTGTGAGACATAATCTGGACTTTTCGTATCAGCAGAATAAAAAGAGAAGTCATAGGTGAAGGTCTTCGTCCGTTCTCTTCCTGAGTCCCCAGTCCCTCCTTCTGGTATCTAGACAGGATTGTGATAATAATGTAAAGAGCACTGCTAGCTAAATGATCTATCCAATTCAAGAAAAAGAAAAATCCATTAAAAATGTATAATGATCACTTGACTAAAAAAGCATTTAATTCCTCCTGAACACCCTCCTAAATACATAGGGAGAGAGAGAGGGTAGGAGGGGGTAAGGTTGGAAGGAAGGGAGGGGAGGGGAAGGATGAGGTGGGGGGGGAGGGGGAGAGAGAGAGAGAGAGAGAGAGAGAGAGAGAGAGAGATCCCAAATTCCTCCCAGCAATCCAGGCTATGATATGACCCAAGGCGTCTTTTCTGGACTTTTATTATGATTATCTTATATGAAGCCAACACTCTGGCCAGACTCTTATTTCTTTCCTGGCTTCAATTCTTTTTACTGTTCCCTCCAACCAAAACCAACAGAGTCAGGGTCTACAGAACTCCAAGGGGTGCCATTCACATAGATGGTGATGTGACTAGAGCCCCCTAGAGTTGTGCAGCTTTGTGGCCCCACTGTAAACTCCAGGTGGGATGCTTCCTCTCCCATGAAGCTTCCCTTGGGCACTACAACCAGAAGTAATTGCTCCCACCTCCGAGAGGCTAGATTCTCCCAGGACATATTCTGAGTTTACTGCAGATATTTGCATGTATCTTGTCTACCTTGCTATATACCTAAATTGAGCCAAAAACCATGTTTAAAAATCATCATAAGCCACCAATGCTTTACACAGTTCCCTGGACACATGCTGAAAAAATTTAATGAGCATCATATTTTCTAATATAATTCAGACTCTATAAATACACAATTTCTATGGTTCTTATTAAAATGTTAAAAATCTGGACATCTGTTTTTGTTAAATTGGACAAGGAAATGTTTGTAAAACTCAAAAGGCACCAGAACAATCAAGGAAAATAGATTCCATAATGCACAAAGAAGAGAAGCATCCAAAGCCAAGGGTCTCTTAGCTCTGTTCCAGTAAATATAATTTTTTAAAGATTAAACTTGTACCAAAGCATGGTGAGCAGACAGATACATGAAGCAAAGCAAAGCAAAGGTAACTAACAGGAGGTGATGGTCAAGTGATGACAGGCAGAAATACAAGTAGATGTGGGAGGCCAAAGGAGGGCAAGCCAGGTGGGGCCAGACAGAGCTAGAAGGTATCAGGATTGTGCTCAGAGGAGAAAGAAAGACATTCCACTGGAGAATGCCTGGGGCAAAGGGACACGGAGCCTCAAAGAAAGCCTATCAAATTATCTAGAGCATGGCCCAATTGGAAGAGAGGAGCATTCCCCAGCTTCTATCACTGGAGATCAAGTAGACTACTTTGAGATTCCAAAGTATCTAGTCCCTTGAGCCACAAATTAACAGAAATCCAACTAGAGATTGATCTGCACTTGGCCATGGAGCAGCAGGCCTCCGAAACCCCAACCTGTGAGTTAATGACAAATTTGGGAGGACAAAGGGGCAGAGTCCACCAAGCATATGATTTACTATTATTAATTTTACACTCATATCTCCCACCAAGTGAAAAGTATTCACAATTCTTAACAAATTCACTGACCAAAGGAAAGAATAGGATATTTTAAGTGCAAAAGGAAGAAATATGCCATGCTAGAAAATTCTGGGTTTTTCCAACTTTTTCAAAACTCTTTTTTTTTTTTTTTTTAATGTTTGTTTATTTTTGAGAGACAGAGACAGAGTGTGAGCAGGGGTGGGGCAGAGAGAGGGAGACACAGAGTCCAAAGCAGGCTCTAGGCTCTGAGCCCTCAGCACAGAGCCCAATGCGGGGCTCAAACCCAGGCACCGTGAGATCATGACCTGAGCCGAAGTCGGGACGCTTAACCAACTGAGCCACCCAGATGCGCCTGGACTGTCCTTTCCAGAAAAAAAACAAAACAAAAAATCCATTTTTTTAAATCTTTCGTTCCCTGAGTTTTTAATAATAATGTAAGTTCCCCTTGCCAAGTTTAAAAACATGATTATTTTCATTAAGAATTGAAAGAGGGGCACCTGGGTGGATCAGTTGGTCATATCCAACTCTTGGTTTTGGTTCAGGTCATGATCTCATGGTTTGTGAGTTCGAGCCCCATGGCAGGCTCCACGCTGACAGTGCAGAGCCTGCTTGGGATTGTCTCTCTCTCCCTCTCTCTCTGCACCTCCCCTGCTCGTGTTCTCTCTCTCAAAATAAATAAAGAAATTAAAAAAAAAAAAAAGAATGGAAACAAATCTAGGGCCAACAGTTACTTAATGATTCACAAAATGCAGCTAGATGCCAGGCTTAGAATCTAGCACAGGATACAGGATAACATTGTGTATGTAGTCGGGGCTAAATCTGTGAGTTTGCACACCAAGGCTACAGCTTGAAGGTTCTGAGACCAAATAAAACTAGGGGGCGGGAGAAGAGATAAAACATAGCCCTTCACTTCATGACTGAGCCCTAGACAAGTACAAGTTGACGTGGCTAGCTGAACTGAGAAGGAGGGGTAAGGAAATGGCAGATGTGTTTTATTTACCCAGAAATCATTTTGACAATAAAACAAACACGGAGGCTCGTGGAGCGTGGCCAGGTTGCTACTTGCCTTTAAGTTTGTGATTGTTGTTTTGCTTTTCTCCATTTGAATAATGAATTTGGCTTCCAAGTCCTTTTCCCT